TAGGTGCGACGGTGCGAGACGAACACAATAATGTGACCTCACCTGACCGATGGCCGCACCCCATGAGCTCATAATGTCGTTACTATGCCACTGCTTAGAGGGGTAGTCCTAAGGGAGGGGGGGGGTTAGGGAGAATGGTTTGGTTTGCTTTCTTGACGGCATCTCAGGGTGTGACGCAACAGGTTAACAAAGCTTATGAAACAACATTGTGCGCATCCTTGCCACGGTTACCCACATCTCATGCGGACACGTAAATGTACTGCATTTCATTGACTTCGGAATACAGTCGCGAATTGGGACGAGGTGCACGCGTGCGTAAATAAAGTATAACTGATGACTGGGCAGCTGGAACTCAGTCGTTCCGCATTTACACACTCCACTGCTATAAATATAATGCTATCCACCACAACCAAGTTTTTATTTCTCACTTCTGCTCAGTTTCAGCTTGTGGCTGCAATTTTAATAAGCTCTGACTCTGGTGTTATATCTGTTTTTCCGTGTTTGATTCCTTAACAAATACATGTAATTATTGGCAACATTACATCCATTATATTTAAAATGTTGCCAATAATTGACGGCACCTGTGTACCAAATACGTTCATGAAATATATCGTCGAAGATGAAACGTATAAAATCAAAACGGCAAGAAATATTCCATACACCACCTTGGATGTAACCATCAGCACCCTCTGAATCTGGCTGGCACGGGAAGCCCATCTGGCCTCCCAAGAGAAGTAGGCAACTGAGTTGGTGATAACAATATGGAGATAAATTATTGGTTCTTTCGGTAAAGTCACGTAGAAGGGAAATAAGAAAATAAAAAGAACCAAAAATATGAATCCCTGCAGTCACGAAAGCTTTAAATCGAAATATGGAACCTGTTTCGCCTTTTGGCGAAAAAGTATTCAACTATTTTTTACTATGATTATCATATCGGAAGACGCAGCTTCAAAAGGATGCCGTTCATTTTCATCGATAGCAACCTCAAAGTTCTAACATGACGCCCGCATGTCGAGCGCCATATTGTTTTACTTTCGTTTAACTTAAAGATTGTTTTTTTACTGTAATATTAGGTCTAATATGCCCAATTTACAACGAGTCAACGCCTGCAAAGAAATTGCAACGACCAACCAACAAATTAAGTGGCAAAATAAATGAACGAGATTGTGCAAAAAACACCATTTTAATATGTTATTGCTAATTTTACAATGAAAAAGAATATTGAAATGTTCATCTCCAGCATACATTTTCCTCACCTTATGAAAATAAACGATTGACATCACTCTGTCTCTTTGTATATACACTGTGCCTACCCTTACTATATAAATATATTTATTGAAGAAGATATCTTGGTTAAAACATGTTTTATCATACAAACAAAAAGAAGATGGTCAAAATGAGTTTGTGTTGTTCCTTTAATTTTCGTAGGCCCCCAGACACGGGTGCCTACTGTGCCTATTGTATAATACGGTCCTGCCACTGCCATTCGTTCGGCTCGATTGGGACGAATCATGGAGATGAGGGCACACTGTTCCACACCGACCTGGCCACAAAAAAATATATATTTACATTTAACAGGTCCTTGTCAATCCACCGCTGGATGAAGACCTCACAACGTGCCGATTTTAGGGGTTGCTTGAACATACTTCACAATGCTGATGAGTGCGGGTTGGTAAAGCGGGCACGCGCCCAGGTCTTGTGTAGATATCACTACTAATGTGAGCCATGGCGGGGAACTCGACTTCATGTGACCAGGTTTACAGCACTATATAATCACCACTGCGCATCTGCAGGGACGTATTTGTATATATATAAGGGAGTCCACCACACGAGTCCGTTCCCGGATAACGGGACTTTATTGTTCCAAGAACACACGCTCTCGGAAGTTCTTCCCTGGAAATCCCAATCTCCCATCACGCCCCCGTTTATATCCCCATTCATTCCCCTCTTCCTGAACCTTCCAGAAGGGTTGCCTAGTTCGCCTCATCTTAATCAATCCCCTTCTCTCATCCTCGATCGCCTCGAACCACCCTTCACTTATATTCTTGGTTCTTTCGGTAAAGTCACGTAGAAGGGAAACAATAAAATAATAATATATCTATAAAACAATAAAATTCTCACGACGTTTCGACTGCAACACAAGTGTGGTGGTCACTCTGTAAACACGCACACGCTATACGGTACCTACCAGAGCGGGGTCAGTGATAACCCTGACCAAGACCCCGCCTGAGGGGTAGAGGCTGTGGAGTGTGAGTGTGTGTGTGGGATCCCCCAGAACCCTGCCCCTAGGCAGAAAGCGGGATCAAACAAACACAGATTGGTTGGGCTTCCTGTGGCCAGAATCGTAAAAAAGGCTGGCTCCTGAGAGCAGAGGGCAGTTCGCCTCAAGCCGAAGTCGAGGAGCCACCTGGAGACGAGACCCTGGACCCCAAGCCCCGACGTCCTTCTAAGGGCCGGGGCTCAGTGCGGTGCCAGAGGTCGAGAGGCTAGGACCCTGAGGTTCCCTCAGCCCGACGTCCTTCTCAGGGCCGGGTCTGGACGGGCCAGTGGTCAGAGACCCACCGGTGCCAGCGGTGGGTCAGCCTCCCCTAGGTCCAGCTAGCCGTAGGGCTATAGCAGTAGTCGGGCCAACGGCTAGGGTACAAATAGCACGGAGGCTGTACCTCCACAGGTTGTGGGTAGAAGGGGCCGTTACCCCTTCGTGTTAAGGACCTAGTGAGTCGTTGTTAAAGACATAAATAAAAGTATTGCTTCCTACTACAACTCCGTCTCCATCTACGACTACGACACAAGCAATCATCATCAGGTGTGAAAACCACATCATGCGTGACGTCATTTTCCAACTCTTTACCCTTAAAAAAAACTCCATCAATCTGTCTTCTTTGGTTCTTTCGGTAAAGTCACCAAAGAAGATTAATCCTTGCAGTCACGAAAGCTTCAAATCAAAATTCCACCAATCTGGTGCGCCCTGTCAGCTGTCCGTACGACAGCGATATTTCTTTCATTAGTTATTTAACTTACTGACGGTATATGAATGGTCCCAGAGCAATTTTTGGTTGTGACTACACACTATTCTCAAATTGCTGGATGGGCACCCCGGTGGTGATATGTTTTCTCCCTCACATTGCATATATAATTAGCATATTCTCACCATTGATAGGGGGCCGTCCATAAATGACGTCACGCACCTAGAGGAGGGGGGGGGGGGGATCAGACATTTGTGACGATGTGTGACGAGGTGGGGGGGGGGGGGGGGGTTGAGAAATGTGACGTCACTTCAAAATGCGCAACTTTAAATAAATATAGACAACACGTTCTACTTAATTAAATAGACGTTTTAATAAACGTTTTCTCCTACAACGTCAGAGTGCAGCGCCACATTAAATACGCACTACAATGACAATAGTTTAAAGCGATATGAAGCATGTTTTATTTTTGGGGGGGGGCAGAACTTTGTGACGTCATATTTGAGGGGGGGTCTGATTTTTTGTGACGTCGTGTGACGAGGGGGGGGGGGTCAAAAATCGTCCAAAATCGCGTGACGTAATTTATGGACGGCCCCCCAACCCTGTCGCCAGTATCACGTTCGTTGGTCGTTATTTGGCGATATGACACTGTCCTGGGCAGTGCAGGTTGGTGGGATCGGGCTGCATAGTCGTGGGAGCATATAGATAGAGTACAACAACAGATATCGCTGCACCGTCGTCTTCTGCCCACCGCACAGCCCCGACAGCAGCCCAACAACGAGCTTGCTGTGAAATTTTTTTATTGTTTAATATATATTTTATTATTTCCCTTCAACGTGACTTTACCGAAAGAGCTAAGAATACGACATTGCTGTGCTATGGCGGTCACCCATAACAAACACTGTCTAGGCTGAAGACGACGTAGATATATGGAAAGGATAAAACGATCTTTTGTTAATGTTTATTTTACCAGTTAAGGCCCACTGAGATGTTACAGCTCTTTTTTGTTTGTTTGCAGAAGCGACGACCTGGCCACAAACGATAGCTCAACAAAGTGGCCGATCGTGGGATAAGCCGGAGGAACCCGGAGAAAAATCCACTCGACTACGGGGAGAGAGCAATGAAAATTCCAAATATTATCGAGCAGGAGTCCACAGCTGTCAACCCATACGTTTGAACCCGTATTATTGCACAGGCAAATTGAGTTTCCAGGCCCATGCGGCTTTCAATCCGTTTGCATACGGACAAAAACATGTGACTTCAACAGTCATTTCTGTGACCAGTCACTAGCTAATCACTCAGTTATTTCAATGCTAAATTCGCCTAGTTATTTCAATGCTAAATTCTCCTGTTTGATTTGTACTAAGTGCCTCGGTGAATGTGTATGCTCTGACTTTAACGTAGCTATTTCTGTGAGCAGTTACAAGCTAATCGCTCAGCTATTTCAATGCTAAATTCTATGCTAATTCCATTGTCAAGGGGTGCCTCTGCGGATGTGTATGCTTTAACTTAGCTATTTCAATGCTAAATTCTATGCTAATCCCTTTATCAAGGGGTGCCTCTGCGGATGTGTATGCTTTAACTTTTAACATAGCTATTTCTATGACCAGTCACAAGCTAATCATTCAGCCATTTCAATGCTAAATAATATGCTAATTCCTTTGTTAAGGCGCTTTGTTCCTCTCACACAGCTTAAAGGCCGTGATCTGAACGTGGCTCTTTCACTCCAGCGCTGTCCTACCAGACAGTCTCGTCCCTTCACCTGATGAAGGCCGCTTGTGTTTTTGCCGAAACGTCGTGAGAATATTATTGTGTTATTTTATTTTATCAATTTATTATTTTATTCTCATTCTACGTGACTTTACCGAAATAACCAAGAAGATGTGTTTGTCTGTTTCTCCTTTGTGATGCGCCTTTGTAGGATGAACGTTGAGATTTATAAGGGCCACGGGGTGACCAATAAGGTCTGAATTGTTGTGTAACAAGATCGGCAACTGATAAGGGGTTGACAGGTATGAGAGTCAGGATCGGGATCGAGCCCCACGACCTCCTGCATAGCAGACGAGGGAGTGAACATCTCGCCAACGTGTCGCGCCCTCACTTATGATAATCACGTGAAGCAGAAGCGCCCTGCCCAATCGGGCTACCCTGGGGTGCGCGTGGTCGCGTAAAGGGGTTACGGGACGCTCGTTCCTCTGTCTCAGGGACCACGATCCGCCGCACCGCGGCGACGCCGCGCATTAAAACTTTGTCGGGGACAGAGTTCCCACGTCTCTCTTGAGCTCTCCCGGGGGGCTTAGCCGCCACTGCAGCGGCTTGCGCTGAGAGTTGTCTCGCCACAGCCGTTCAGCAGTAACGGTGGCCGCAGCGAGAGTGGCTAACACGCGCGCAGTGACGGCGACAATAAGTTACTGTAACGGCAGCGGCAAACAAACAAAAGAAGCGGCGGTCGAGGAAGTGACCGCAACAGAAGACGTATTTGCGATACGTCAACCGCAGCAGGGGGGTAACAACGACACAAGTTTCAGCGCACGGCATCCTGAGCCAAGCCAGTCGTCGTGGAGTAGGGCCCCAGGAGTGTGAGCAATGGGTCTCCGGTCGACGCTCATCCGGCGATGTCAACTGCTGCTCGTCTTGCTCGCCCTGTCCCTTCTGCTGACCGCGATTCCGCACCCGATATTCGCGAGCCTCAACGAGCTGCTGTGGAAGCACGCGGGACCTTTGCTGCAGCCCAACGTCAACGCGGTTGAAGGCGAGGGTGGCGGACGTGGTGACGTGGGAGCCCGTGGTGGTGGTGTTGCTGCTGCTGATGATGATGCTGACGATAGACGTGGTTTTGACGTCGGTCAAATGCGTGCCGTTCGCGGCAGGGAACCGTCGACGAACGTCCCCGAGTTTCGGTACCTGCTCAACGAGCCCGACACGTGCCGGCCTCGGGCCCCCTTCCTCGTCGTCCTCGTCGCGTCCGAGTCCACCGAGTTCGAGGCCCGCGAGGCCATCCGCGAGACGTGGGCCAGCGAGAGCGTGGCGCTGCGCGGCGTCTCATTCAGGCGCCTCTTCCTCCTCGGCACCGCGAGCCCCGCGAGCGACGCGCAGCGGCGCATCGAGGAGGAGAGCCGACGGCACGGGGATCTCATCCAGCAGAACTTCACGGACGCTTACGACAACCTGACGCTCAAGACCATGATGGGCCTCCACTGGGTGTCCGTGCACTGCCCGCACGCCTCGTACGTCATGAAGACGGACAGCGACATGTTCGTGAACCTGGAGGTCCTGGTCAAAGCTGTCCTCGAGCAGCAGGTGAACGAGGGGCAGCAGCAGCAGGAGGAGGATGGGAGTGAGATCACGCAGCGTCGGCGTGTACCGCCCCGCGACTACTTCACGGGCTACGTGATGCGCGGGTTCCTGCCGAACCGTAACCCCGCGAGCAAGTGGTACATGCCCGAGGACATGTACCCTGGGGCAACCTACCCGACGTTCTGCTCAGGCACAGGCTACGTGATGTCGGCCACGCTGGCCTCTCGCCTCTACCGCGCGTCCCTCGCGATCCGCCGGCTCCGGCTGGAGGACGTCTACGTGGGGGTGTGCTTGGAGAGCCTGGGCGTGGAGCCCGTCTTCCCGCCGTACGAATTTCACTTTAACCACTGGCGGGTGTCCTACTCGCCCTGCCAGTACAGCCGCATCGTCACCTCGCACGCGTTCTCGCCCAGCGAGCTGCGCCACTATTGGGGTGACCTGCAGCTGCACCGGGACAAGCCGTGCGGTTAGCACGGCGGCGTGGAGTTGGAGTTGTTGTGGCTTGGCTGGGCCGGGCTGCGTGCGCACTGGGGTAGAGTAAAAAGGTATCGCCGAGTTGATCAGAGTGGCTGTGAGCTTGAGATTACTCCGTGGTTGTTGTTTTTTTTTTTAAAACGAACATTTGCGGTTTGCAGAGCACAGGCTCAAAAGTCTGAAATGACAAGTTAGCACTGTTGAATGTATAATGATACTAATAATAACCAGGAATTAATACGTGTCTTGAATCGAGCAATTGGTAGGGATACGGAGATTATAGTCGGTGTGAATTCGGGCTCAATGGGGTGGGCCGGGGACTGGAAGTTAATACTGCAGTGGAAGCGGTCTTGCGATACTATTACAGTGGCTTACAACGTGGTTGACAAGCATTGGCCCCGGTACAACTAATAACTAAACGCCCCCCCCCTTCCCCATTTACAAAGACAAATATCCCCCGTGTAGCCTTTAACAGACTGTTGTGGCACGTGCCGTTAGCGAATAGCAACTATGAAGGCCGGCAGAGTGGCACACGAGGTAGTGGGTAGTCAGCACCACGACCGGCCGCCTTTGTCTCTCTAGTGGCGATGTTTACACAACGCACCAGGTGCTCGCAATCGATAGATACTCTATTTGATTGGATATTGAGTCCACGGGAGTGTCCAACGATATTGATATCTGGAGTGATCGATATTTAAAGCCATTCGCGGTTAACATTGATTGGCTGGGCGCGATGTGGATGTGGTGCTGGTTTTCGTCCTTGCGTTGGGAGGCGAGGTTGGTGGATCATGCAGAGATCGCCGTTGGCTCTGAGACTCCCAAGCAGCAGGTCGGGCTACGTCAGTGGTTCTCAACCGGGGGCACGCGTTCATTATTCGTCCGTTTATTTCTCAGAACCCTGGTGAGAAACCACTGGCGCTGCGTGCGATGTCAATTCACGCCTTCCCCGCGAGAGCTGAGTCATATCAACTGAGCCGGAGTGGCGAGGGGGGGGGGCGACGGACGGCAGAATTGAATAACTCAACTGGTTACGTGTTGTTTCAGCACATTCATTGCAATCACATAGGTATATTGTTAAACGATTGAATGTATGGGAGATCGACAGCGCGAACCACGGGCACATGTAAATGATATCGATACTGTATACATACCTGTTAACCCGTACGGTTTACCCGTATTCTTGTGCAGGGAAATTGAGTGAAAACTTTTTTTGTCATTTTTTGTGTGTTTATCCCTTATGATGGGATTTTGTAGGATGAACATTGAGATTTATAAGGGGCACCTGGTGACCAATAAGGTCTGAACTGGTCTGTAATAAGGTAGGCAACTGATAAGGGGTTGACAGGTGTGTGTGTGTGTGTACGATATAGGCTACCCGCCACTATACTTGTCGGTGGTTTCTTTTGGAATGCAGTCGGATTTCAAAACTGTAGTTCACCACCGCTATGGGGGCTCCCACTCGTTCCGGTTCATTTAAACCATTCGGCCGTTCTGGGAGCCGACGTGGAAATTCAACATTTCTCTCTCGCTTTTGGACAGCCCGCTGCTGACTGTTCACACGTGCTCCTTAAAATTTTCTCGACCTCAAAAAATTGTAATGAGCAGAGTCAACCCTCTGACAGGGATTGGAACTGGGACACGCTTGCCATTGTATGTAAAGAAGCTGCAAAAAAGGCTGGTGACGTCTTCCTCTGATCCCCGACTTGCACACTTTAATCCAACAAGTTCCACTGCTTGAGCCTAGACGTCAAAAGCTCGGCATTGGACTTGGTGTGACCAAGATCTCTGATCAAGTCGTTGAGGTCTCTTTGGTTGGGGTAGTATGGGTTCCTCTCCTCAGCTTCACCTCTGAAATTGTCATCTGGATCTACAACGTCTTCCTAACTCTCTGACTTGCTGCTCTCTTCTAAAGACGGCTGCTCTCTCCGGAGGGGTGGGTACGGGGAGCTCATGGCAGTGTGGCACCGCGGCGAAAGCAGGTGCATTCATGCCAGTCCGACGTTTGGGAGGGTCCACCATGCAGAAGTAGCAGTTGCTTGAGTGGTTAGTGGGTTCCCGCAAAATTATTGGGATAGCGAACTTCATGGCTCTCTTTTCCCCTCTGTACCATCCTACAAAAATACATTTATTTCACCCATGACTAATGTGTAAGAGATTCTCCCAACATTTTTCATGTATGATATATTTTTCCAATAACATTGAAAATTTTAAAAATGTAAAACATAAAAAAATGATTTTTTTGTAACATAAAATTCAGAGCAACAATTGTCTATCTTACCTTCCAGAGTTTTTTTTCACTGCTCGCAGGTGAAATGAGGTGCCCAGGGTTTGTCTTGATCCCCGACAGGCATGCCGAAATATGCCTTGTAGCTGTAGGCCTCACACATCTTAGCCCAGACATGGGCAAAGTACGGCCCCCGGGCCGTATGCGGCCCGTTGGGCTTTTTAATCCGGCCTGCCGAACTTGTCCAAATATTATTATTATTATTATTAAATTTTACCTTTCTCCTGTAATGCCCCCATTTCCCCATTAGATGGCGCACTTTGACCGGGAGTTATGACATGTTTTGTTTTTTCAAAACCATCACTTTACCCTACATTGCTAGGATCACAAAAAAGATCTCCAAAATCTTGAATAAACACAAGATCCAGGTCCGTTTCAACACATTACATAAAATCCGTGATCTGGTTCCGTCTGTAAAATATGTGATTCCGGACATACAATACCCTGGTGTCTACAAACTAAGTTGCCTCTGTGGTAGTAGTTACATTGGAGAAACCAAACGCCATGTCTCGGACCGCATTCGTGAACACAAAGCAGACCTTAAACACGGTGGGACCAACACCTCGGCCGTAGCAGATCATTGTTCTAATTCAGTAGGCTCACATGCCATTGACTTTTCCAAGACAGAGGTTCTTTGTAAGCCATCTGGCTTCCATGAGAGATTCGTTCATGAGGCTATCCACATATACAAGCACAGAGACAATTTCAACCGAGAAGATGGATTCTATCTTAGCAATCATTGGAAAGATTTGATAAACCATTTCAGTTCTTAATTGATTGTTCACGCTTACAGTGGCTTTCAGACAGCATACATTATAAAAAATTTCGTCTCCCCCCTCCTCTTTTCAAAATATAGATGGACTAGTCCTGGGTAAACTGCCAAATCGCTGCGCGTGACGCTAACGTTTTTTTATAAATAAATAAATGCGCCGTTTAAAAATAAATTTATGCAAACCAACACACCTGAAGATGACCGTTTGAGTTATGATCGAAACGTCGTGAGAATTTTTTATTTTTTATATATATTTTATTATTTTGTTGTTTCTCTTCAACGTGACTTTACCGAAAAAACTAAGAATATGTTTTGTATTGTTCATGTTCGTGCAATTTGTTAAATTGCCTTGCAAATAAATGCTTTGCTACCTGTTAAAGGCCAAATCCTTTCATGTAATGATTTTTACATGTCATTTATATTAGTTCACACAAACACTCCATCCATATGTTCCTGGCCCGGCCCCTCTGTCAAATTTTAGAACCCATTGTGGCCCGCGCGTCAAAAAACTTGCCCACCCCTGTCTTAGCCGATGCTTCCACAGAGTACTGTTTCGCTCTTGTCTTGATAAATTGGCCGCAGACATAGCAAAATGTGTCTGCCGGATGCTTGCAGCCTCTTGATGCCATCTCAAAAAAATGCAGATATGTATCCACTTAGGCAAAGGCAAACTAAACTGAACTGGTGGGCTTAAGGTCCCTCTATTAATACTACTATTTATATTACTGGAAAGTTGTAGAATGTTCTCGAAGTTACTCCAAGTTTGCTCAGCACTGAATCTATCTGGAATGTTCTGTAAAATAGGTACATTTCATAATATCACTGTCCTGGTCACAAAAGCAAAGTTTGTGGGGAATAATAGCCATTTTCTGTACTTTTGAGGCAAATGAAATTAGGAAATAACACTACCCAGGAACAAAAAATAATGTTACACAGTGTTATAGAAGCATGTTTGTTTTGCATATTTTACCACAAGCATGTGTGGTTTATGCAGATTTGATGCCTTGCAACAGGTGTCTCTCTGGTGTTTTAACATCTTAACACCTGTATTTTTCACGGAGAGGGTAAAGCCTATTATTTTTTCATCACCTTGACACCGACAAAAACGGTCCCATAAATAAGAGGATGTGAGTTTCGCATTTAGATGCAGCATGCAAAGTCAAAATATATCAACGAAGACTCTGCTGCTTAAAATACGCATGGTAGAGCAATTCGTTTTCCAAAGGTCACGGCGTTGGTATAAAACAGGTTCTCCCAAGCAAAATTGTCAATCATTGTGTCTGGGGAAGCTACTGTAGGTCGCACCGTCACGAATGGCAAATACTGTATGTATATTCTTGGTTCTTTCGGTAAAGTCACGTAGAAGGGAAACAATAAAATAATAAAAATATAAAACAATATATTTGTATTATTTGATTGTTTCCCTTCTCCGTGACTTTACCGAAAGAACCAAGAATATGAATCACTGCAGTCACGAAAGCTTTAAATCAAAATTTACTGTATGTATGTTGAACTAATCCGCGCTTCCGTGCTAATCGGCGGTGCGGGTCACAGACGCACAAAAAAATCACACAGGCAAAGACACAGATCTCCCTGATAGCCTTAACAGACTGTTGGGGCAAGTGTTGTTAGCGAGCACCTATGAAGGCCGGTACAGCACACGAGGGGGCGTGGGGGATCAGCACCAAGCCCAGCCGCCTTCGTCTCCCGAGCGGCGACATTTAGACACCGCACGAGGCACGGACGAGGGACGTGTGATTTAACATTTGTATACGTACACAAAATAAATAATGAGACAATACTAATCATATCCTACGTCCACGTAAAAAATATATATATTTTTTTATTCACATTCCATCAGCCACAATATGTTTTGGGAAGGCATAACTTGGGCAACATTGGCTCAACACAAAGCAAACTCTGGACTGGTTTCAACAGTGTCCTATCGTCAGTCAGGCTTGCTTGAACCGATGTTGGTGAATGCCAGATCTGACCAGCAATGAGTTGTATACACAGCTCCATTTCCAATCTGAACTAGGACCATCACATTTCGAATGCCGCTCTGCGGAATTGCCTGTAAATTAGCATTTGCAAGGCTCAAGTGGGAGAGAGGGTGCCTGGTATATGCGACTAGAATTGTCAATGGAGGTACGTGTCTGTCTTTGTGGCAATCCATGATATGAACCAGATACACGCAAAAAAGTTGAATACATTGTAAATATACTGTAATGTACGATCGATGACACGCATAGTTGCTTTCATTTTTTCAAATACTAATTTTTACTGGTTACATTTATTGCTATCGTTAGCAAGGTGTGGTACTATGGTTAAATGCCACTTGGCTACTTAGTGCCCGTGTCGTACATTTTGTGAGGAACCCCGGACTGGTTTTAACAAGTTGTGACCATGATACAAAAAAATTCCAATGAGTATCCTGTTGGACTGATTTTGAGATACAGTAAAACTCGTGTGGTCTCATTAGGCAAAGCCAATGAGTGCCCTGAAGTTATACGCATCCTTTTTACTGGTAATTCATTCACCAATCTTGTCCTATGAAGGTAAAAAATCAAGATGCAGCCCTGCAATCGCTTGCTCACACCACTCTTGACAGAACACCCACTAGACGGAGCTCTAGAGAATGTTTGGTCGACTCCTCTGCCACATTGACCAAACCTCTTGGAAGAGGTGGGCGTACATACACTTTACCCCGTCACACGCGACATGCCGATGAAGGTGTACCCATTTATACTGCTGAGTGGACAGGGTTTAGGCCTTTTGGGGGAGAGAGGGGATTTTATGAAACCAGAATTTCGGCGGCCTATGGAATTTCGGCGGCCTATGGGAGGGCTTCTCTGTGCTTTACGCCTCGCCCGTCGCCTCCACTGATGTCTCCTTCTGCCCTCTTCCCCCCCCCCCCCCCCCCCGCAATGTGCAGATACTACTAACTCTATTGTATGTAGGGTGTGCAGGCATATACGCCTTTATGCCTACAAAACAGGTCCCTGCAGGGTGGGCTGGTAGGAACATTGGAATTTTGCGCAATTTTATTACACCCAACAGCACGAGATTTCACTTCGTTAAAGTATTGAAGGGGGACGGACGGACGGACACATTAATCTATTGCAGGCTGGTACACTCAGTTTACAACTTCGTTCCTACCAGTATAAATTTCATTTTTTGGGGGAGGAGTGAAAAACATTTTTTGTTGGGGG